ACTTCATACGAAAATTTATCCTGTATTCTTCTCTCAAGGTTAAGGCCATACATAGATGAAATTATTGGGGATCATCAGTGTGGGTTTCGATGTAACAGATCAACTACTGGTCAGATCTTTTGCATTCATTAGATACTGGATAAAAAATGGGAGTACAATGAGACAGTACATCAGCTATTCATAGACTTCAAGAAAGCCTGTGATTCAGTTAGGAGGGAAGTATTGTAAAATATTCTGGTAGACTTTGGAGGTAACCATGAAGCCAATTAGGCTGATTAAAATATGTTTAAACGATACGTATGATAAAGTCCGTGTAAGTAAACATTTGTCTGATAAATTTCCTATCCAGAATGATCTAAAACAAGGAGATGCTTTAACGCCACTGCTTTTCAACTTTCCTTTAGGATATGACAATAGGAAAGTTCAGAGAATCCAGGTGGGTCTGAAATTAAATGGGACACGTCAGTTTATGGTCTATGCTAATGATGTGAATCTACTTGGTGACAGTATTAGATACCATAAAGAAAAACACAACAACTTCAACTGTCGCAAGTAAAGAGGTTTGTCTAGAAATAAACACAGAGAAAACTAAGTATATGTTGCTGTGTCGTCACCAAAATACAGGGCAAATTCATGATATAAAGATAAGTAACAGATGTTTTGAAAATTTGGCGAAGTCCAGATATTTGGGAACGACTATAACAAATCAAAACGTCATTCAAGAGGAAATTAAGAGGAGATCAAACTCGGTTAATGCTTGCTACCATTTAGTCCAGAACCTTTTTGTCTTCTCGTCTGCTCTCCAAAAACATAAAAATCAGAATATACAAAACTATAATTTTGCCTGTGGTTCTGTATGGGTGTGAAACTTGGTCTCAGACATTAAGGGAGGAACATACTGAGGGTGTTTGAGAACAGGATGTTGAGGAGAATATTTGGACCGAAGAGAGATGAAGTGAAAGGAGTAGCATGAATTGTGGAGACAAGGAATGCATATAGGATATTGGTGGGAAAGACAGAAGGAAAGAGACCACTGGGAAGACAAAGACGTATGTGGGTGAACAATATTAGAATGGATCTTAGAGAGACAGGATGGGATGGGATGGGATGGGACGGTATGGATTTAATTGATCTAGCTCAGGATAGGGACCAGCGGAGGGCTCTTGTGAACGTGGTAATAAACCTATGGGTTCCATAAAATACTTGGAATTTCTTGAGTAGCTGCACAATTGGCAGCTTCTCAAGAAGTGTTCAGCTCCACGGGTGAGTGATAAGTGAAGTGTAGTACAATATTAAAGAGTTAGTTTAGTGTTGACTATTTGTGCGTGTTTTTCGCGGGAGATGAAGTTAAGCGTCGGCCTCGACGTACAGGGACTGGAAATGAATGCAACAGAACCCAATGGAAATTAGCAGTACAGAAGCTAATGTGAAAAATGGTGAGATTTCTCTCCGAATTAATAATAGTAATAATAATAATAAATATTTACCACTCCTCCACGACTTTCTCTTTTCACCTAACTTTTCTACGGGGTACGCGGTAGCGTAGTTGGTTGAAGTACTATGCTACAAGCCGGAAGGTCGCGGGTTTGATTCCCGATTAGTTCATTGGATATTTTAGTTTAACTAAGCCTTCCAGCCGCACTATGGCCCTGCAGTCAACTCAGCCTCTAACAGAAATGAGTACCAGAAATCTACCAGGGGGTCAAGGGCGGCAGGCGCGTAAGGCTGGCAACCTCACCGCCATCTGTGAACCGACAATCTAGAAAAAATGGGAGCCTCGACGTCTCAAACCACTGTGGGTCTCCACGGCCTGTTACAGTTACAGCTTTACCTTTACCTACCTCTTCTATGTTTATCCCTGCTATCTTTCAGAGGCCAAAGTGTTATAGCTCGATTTTTCATAAATCCGTGAAAGTACATACGTACTTTTCGGTCTTGTGCAACAAAGAACACGTATATTTTTCATAACAGAAAACTTCAACAGGTTCCTGATAGCAAGAAGTTACCCACATATATCTGGCGAGCCGGGTGATCCCTGTCCAGTAATCGTAAATCTTAACGACTTCCCTCCACCACCATTTCGACACATACAAACATATACTTTCCATATATAATGAACGTCGTAGATTCTAAAGGGTTCTGACGATGGGGTATGGCACTCAGAATTACTGGGTTTTCGGACTTTTTCCATTTTCTAGAATACCGGAAGATAGAAAAAGTCCGAAAATCCAGTAATTCCGAGCATAATGATTTTTTTCGGGAAATCCCATAAGCTGGAACCGAGGTAAAGAGATTCGATCCAGAGACTGACAGAACATAGTTGGGGGGGGGGGTCAACATTAGGTCACGGACCTCCCCGACCCTTCGCGCAGCGGGGCAAGCAACAATATTCGCTTTCTTTCTGGAACGTAGAGCCGCTTTTCTTCAAAATTAAGGTCATTGATCATTAAGGACAAAGTATTGTAGCGTTTTGGGAGGCCAACAGCACTGAAGAATTTTAATTAGCAGGTTCCAAATGCTTCGACCGGGCGCTGTAAGCAGAGCTCATCTCGCAATCCGCACAGAGGCTGCAGGACCACGCGCTGTCTCCGCTGTCTGTCAGCTTACATTCTATTTAAATATTAATTCTATAAATCTTCCTTTGCGACTACCCTGCACCGGGCAGTTTTGCTGTGGGACTTGTGCAGATGATAAGGCATTTAAGATATACACAGAGCGAAACGAAATGTCACGCGTTTCAGTGCGCCCGACACTGTGACCACGATAAAGTCTGCCTCATCACACGTCTTACTGTCCTATGAGAGTACATAATTATACTTATGCTAATTTTGGCAGTCCACCTTGCAAATTATTTACATGTTGTTTCCACGTATTTTAATTTCTTTACTTCTGCAACGAAGCCCTCAGTTTACAGTCAATATGTATCCAGCGACTAACCGCTTGAGTTATGGTGCGGCCTAGAAACACCCGTAAATAAGACCTAAAGGTCTGTGACGATAGTTCATTAATACAATTACTGTGATTCTGGACAGTATACATCGTCCCGTTTTTATTTAAAACACAACTTTTCGGAGACCGGATTGTGTCTACGAAACGTTGTGTGTTTTAAATGAAAATAGAATGACAGATACTGTCCACAATCACAATAATTGTAGAAATACCCGTCCTTATGTCAGCATGTTGTTGGTTCCCTTGTCCATATCACAGTGCAGTAAGTAAAACCTTAAGAAGAAATTAAGCGACATCAAGAATTCACAGTTCATTGCTGAAATTATAATAATCTGTGGACGTTACACTCCATGATGAACCTTGGCCTCTGTTTTATAAGTTCTTAATCATATAGACAGTCAGTAGGACTCCTTTGGCGGGGGATCAGCCCACCACGAGACCGCTACCTACACAGGGCAACACAAACACAGAACAAACGCAAACGTATATGACTCGGGTGGGATTCGAACCCACGACCCCAGCTTTTGGGTGGGCGAAATCACTTCATGCCTTAGATCTCGCGGCCTCTGTGATCGGCTCTGCTGCATTTAAGAAAGAAGATTAGGAAATGTTGCGAATCCCAACAAATACTCTACATAGTGGCAACAATACAGAGTACATTTATTTACGGGTATCTTTCGATGTTCTCCATTCGGTCTGCGGTAAGAAACAGGTAAGTAACATCTTTGTAAGTCTATATGACAGTGATGTGTCCCAAGTCGGAGAGAGGGGGGGGGGACCAGTCAGTGAGTGTGAGTGCCCGCTCTAGTCACCCCTAGTAGAGGGGAGTGACCAGTAGTAGTCAGACTCATACTCTCGTCGAAGAGGAGGTCCCATTTCAAAACACGTAAAAGTATTTAAAATAAAATGATACTCATGGTTCCCGATGGGACTCAAAAAAAAAAAAAAAGAATCACTATGCTGGCGAGGACCAGCAGGAATTTAACCGACTGACTGACCGACCGATCTAGATCACAGGTGGCTCCCAAATCCATCACAGATTAAAATATGGTCATGTGTCCCACGGCACTCGGAACCAAGAATCACTGTGCTGACGAGGGCCTGCAACGATTTAGCAGTCAGTCACTCAGCCTACATCTTATATTTAAAATTACATGTTCACTAAACATTCCATATTCCAATTCACTACGAGATACCAAGTTCTTATTTTCAGACTCACATGAACCTGGTAAGCGGTCTGTGAGGCGCGAGAAAGATTTGGAAATTTTAAATCATTGTTAACAAATTTAGGTTTTGTGGTCAGGGTAATGAATCTTCAGCTTTAATTTCTTTTGTTATCTGAGCGACTCTCTGTTTCCGTAGGAATTTTGATGGGCTACAAATTAATTTTACTAATGAGAGTTGGGCAGTCAGATATTTCTGAAGACTTCTGAACGCACGTTTAATTCATCATTAGGAAATGGTTCTTAAATAGCCCCATTTACTTCCGCTGAACTCCAAACGTAGAAACCACCCTTTCTTTATCATTTGCACTTACTCCATTTTCCTATGGGAGCATTTTCCTGTTTCAGCAAAAATCTGACAAAATTATTTCGTTGCAGGCGAAACAAAAAGAACAGGAAATATGGAACAGGAAACATTCTAGTGTTCTCCTGTTCAGATGTTAGCTTCTTCATTGCACTATCTGACCATATTCATGTTGTCTGTCGCGTAGTTTCCTGCTTTTATCAACACTTCTTGAAAATTTAGCTGAAATATTTATCAAAACTGCTAAGTTATTTATTGTGATTGTTACTACTATTATCAAAACCACCGGTGAAGTGGCGTCTGTATATAAAAAAAAGTTTCATGCTGTTACCAAAATCAGCAAAATTGGCACTTATCTCCAACTGGAAAAATATCTCTTAACTCATACTGAAGGAAGCCAAGACAAGACAAGTCAAAACAGATTCCTGACGTTCGAACAGCATCAGTCCTATTGATTTCGCATGTTTGCTGTGCGTGAAAGCGACGCCCGATTTAACCCGTAGTACTGCGGGCCTGGTACTCACCTCACTGTCAAGTAGGCCTGTTCTCGGTGCTGGGCTCAGCTGATGAATCTAGCGATGGGTGACGTGACTTCAGTGCGCAGACACCAACTCTTCCCGGCTGGCACTGTACCACTTCTTCTTATCATTAATGCACTTCGTCTTCCATCTTTTTATATCTATATGTCACATCAATTTTTCACAACTGCGTAAAGTCTCGTTGGTACATCGGCATTAATATATTGCACGCCATGTATTTGGTTTATTTATAGTTCTGCACCGTCTTCCACTTGACACGTGTTAATTAACAGAACCATTTTAAAATAAATGGCCCATGTGTTAAAACACAATGAACTAGTGTTCATCTTAGTTAAGAACTACACTTAACATTTCCATACGATAATATTTATAACCCCTATGGTTTATTGTCGAGAAGCAATGGCATACATAGCCACAATTAAGCTTTTTTTTTACGAAAAAGAAACATCTATTTCATCTCTTTCTCGTCCTTGTGAATTACGTCTGTTTCCTTTCAGATTTAGTTAAATATGAAACGTCATCAAGTAATAGGCGGTCTTACGAGGGCCTTCGTGACAGAATGAAATTGCCGTGTTTCGAAGTCTCCCTACAGAATACAAGAGCACTTCCATAAATGTATTTATCTGTGCAAATATCCTCCCCCTGTCTACGAAAACAGATATGCGAATAAACAATAGCAGAAAGGTACCATTTTACTAACACACGCCACACTGCAAGAAAACGTTTTGGTATTACTTTCAACTGTAACACATTCACTGCACTTCAGCGCCACAGCAGAAAACAGACTCAACACCACAGCTCTTGGCTACAAGCCACACTCCCCCCCTCCCTTCACCCGGCCGGACTGCTACACCACCTAGGCGGACGAAACTTGTACCTATCCTACAAACTGGAGTCTGTCTACATATCGTAGATGCTGTAGCAGATAGTGGGCCGGGACAGTGTAATGACCAGACTACGGCGATGCAGAGAGATGAAGAAGCGATGCGTGATAATGAAATTATTGGCAATTAGTTGTTCCATCTGTTGGTAAACAATAAACCTGCAATTACGATTTAATCGATAAGTTCGACTCTGAAACCGTCCAGACAAATTACACTGATCATTCGATACGATTCGAGATTGAAACATTTCGATACCCACTGTCTGTTAATTCCACTGATTGCTGAAGAAGAAGAGAACAAATGGTAGAAAAACTGTTGCGTATAAAGAAAACGTTGAAGAAACTGCCCGTGGTAATGCAGTTATCGGTAATTAGTTAGTTCGCCTGTCTGTAATCAACAAATCAGCAGTCAGGTTTTAATCGATAATTAGACATGCACTGTTACTTACTGTAGCGATCATTCGATACTTTACTACAGGCCTGTCGGTATCTGACAACTTTTGTTTCCCATAATAATATCCTCAGTTACAAGAGGCGGCTATTAGCTTAAATGCCTAAACATCGATAGACGGCAGCCAAAATTTGAAGCAGCTGAGCCTTGCAACCATTCACTTCCTTCATCTTTGCGACAATGGCAACGGAACAAGGCATCCAGTAGGCGTATTCCAGGATGTAAAAGAAGGCCGAAGCGTGATGTTGATTACTAAGTCCACATTGTGAAAAGGGTGAGGGTTGTCCCCAGGCTGCCTCCGTGACAACGGGTAGCAACAGAGGCATAACAGGGCGCTGTCTGGAGAGTAAGAGTTATTGCTGTGAAACGGTAGAGCCCTTCCTAAGATCTTCTACACCCTCAAGATCCGTAGCCGGAACCTCACAAATACAATTCAGCAGCACTGAACACTCAGTTCATATCAGTGAAGATTGTGAGTCCCGTAACAAGACTAAGGGCAACAATAACTTTGTTTGACAATGCTACAAGACAGATACACTGCCCACGTCTCATGAAGAGATAAGATGGCGTTCACAAAGCGGTCATCGGGATCACAGTAGCAGAACTTTATGTCTGTAAAAGTAACCAGAAAAAGCAAAAGCTCTGTTTTATCTCAACAATTCAGGTTTTGTGGGAGCGGAGGTATAGCTCCAAGATTTTTTCTTTAACCTTGGCATTAGATTGAATGTGAAAAATCAGGTTCACGACCTGGCTGATTTACAACCGGATAAAAAGCCCACGGTATGCGTTAGATAAGTGGCTGGAAGGGTCCCAGCTCCAGTCTGAAAGTTATTGTGAAAAAAAATTCCTTTCCGCTGCAGGGACTCGAACCCTGATTCTTGGCCGTCCAGTCCCTGAACAAGATGCGAAGTTAATGGGATAAGGAACCAGATTTAGGGTAACCTTGGGCCCCAACATTTAGTACGGAAATATTTCTCTCTAGGATTTATTTTGCGTAAAGATGAAAAAGCATTCACTCAAATTTGGATGGATTCAAAACTGAATAGAAGGTACCGCCTGACAGACTTTGGAAAAGAAAGCTGATAATATTAAAATGAATCTGAAAGAAAAAGAATATAAGAATATTTACTGGACTAATTTTGTTCAGGGCAGGGACCAATGGCGGCCACTTTAATGACACAAGGAGAGGGATGTCTTGAATAGATGAGCGACTACTAGCTTCCCAAAACGGACTCAGCATTGCTGCTCGCATTACACTCACGGCATACAGGCCGGCAATCTTGAATGATAATTCTCGTGGTCATTCTCAGTCACTTCAGGCCAACGCCAGGAGAGGGATTCGTATTAGGGTCCGGCCGCTTCCTTCCGCATCCTGCGAGGTGCTCAGGCGCACGAGCTCCACGGACATTTTTATATTTCATCCATTTGCAAACTAAGAGAATGACTAGTACGAAATTTGTCGAAGAGACGCAACTACATTCAAAGGGCACATATGCGGCCCGCAAGCCATTGTTTGACTAATAATATTGTATATATAGTCTGAACTACTGACCACGCCATTGCTCTGTCTACAGTAGATGTTACAGAAATATTCAATTGTACTGTGTACCGTAGACCTTACAGAACCACACCATTATACTGTTTAGAGTAGACTTTATAGAACCACACAATTGTACTGTGTTACTGTGTACAGTAGACATTACAGAACCACACAACTGTACTGTGTACAGTATAGCTTACACAACCATACAATTGCTCTGTCTACAGTAGACGTTACAGAAACATTCAATTGTACTGTGTACCGTAGACCTTACAGAACCACACCATTATACTATTTAGAGTAGACTTTATAGAACCACACAATTGTACTGTGTTACTGTGTACAGTAGACATTACAGAACCACACAACTGTACTGTGTACAGTATAGCTTACACAACCATACAATTGCTCTGTCTACAGTAGACGTTACAGAAACATTCAATTGTACTGTGTACCGTAGACCTTACAGAACCACACCATTATACTATTTAGAGTAGACTTTATAGAACCACACAATTGTACTGTGTTACTGTGTACAGTAGACATTACAGAACCACACAACTGTACTGTGTACAGTATAGCTTACACAACCATACAATTGCTCTGTCTACAGTAGACGTTACAGAAACATTCAATTGTACTGTGTACCGTAGACCTTACAGAACCACACCATTATACTATTTAGAGTAGACTTTATAGAACCACACAATTGTACTGTGTTACTGTGTACAGTAGACATTACAGAACCACACAACTGTACTGTGTACAGTATAGCTTACACAACCATACAATTGCTCTGTCTACAGTAGACGTTACAGAAACATTCAATTGTACTGTGTACCGTAGACCTTACAGAACCACACCATTATACTATTTAGAGTAGACTTTATAGAACCACACAATTGTACTGTGTTACTGTGTACAGTAGACATTACAGAACCACACAACTGTACTGTGTACAGTATAGCTTACACAACCATACAATTGCTCTGTCTACAGTAGACGTTACAGAAATATTCAATTGTACTGTGTACCGTAGACCTTACAGAACCACACCATTATACTGTTTAGAGTAGACTTTATAGAACCACACAATTGTACTGTGTTACTGTGTACAGTAGACATTACAGAACCACACAACTGTACTGTGTACAGTATAGCTTACACAACCATACAATTGCTCTGTCTACAGTAGACGTTACAGAAACATTCAATTGTACTGTGTACNACACACAATTGTACTGTGTACAGTAGACATTACAGAACCGCATCATTGTACTGTGTAGAAAAGACCTTAGAGAACCACTTCAGTGTGCTGTGTACAGTAGACCTTATAGAACATTCTATTGTACTATGTAGAGTAGACTTTACAGAACCAAACCATTGTACTGTGTACAGTATAGCATATAGAACCACACAATTTTACTGTGTACAGTAGAATATACTATATAGCCTCACCATATACTCAGTACAGTAGACCTTACAGAGCTACAAGTGTGTGCCGGGTAAAATTTACCTTATAGAACAACACATTTCTGCTCTGTTAAGAAGACCTATAACAAACATTTCATTGTGTTCCGTACAGTAGTCTTTACAGAAAAAAGAATCCATTGCTCTGCGTAGAGTAGACCTCAAAGAACTACGCCACTCTGGTGCTTTAAGTAGTCTTTGCAGGACCAGTCTATTGTTCTGTGTACAGTAGAATTTACAGAACCGCTCCATTGCTCTGCGTACAGTAGAACATACAGAGCATACCCATTCTACTGTGTACAGTAGACCTCAGAGAACCACAACCTTGTACTGTGTACAGTGCCTTGCTTGCTCTAATCCTGCCAAATATCCATGTGCAAGTATTCTTTCTTTCTATGTTGGCTGCAATGTATTGCTACTTCATGTGTATAAATGCGTGTATGTAGTAGTGTTTACATTATTGCAACAGGATAAAATATCTCAGCAATGTTTGTTGATTTGCTGAAGTCTGTCGTTAATTTACTCTTTGGAAATCAAAATGATGGCTCACCAGCTGGACGCATTGATACAGGTTCTGATAGCTTGACTGTATGTCCTGCAATGTTAGGATAACTCTGGTTCTGACGACAAAACAATTTTCCTTAAAAATGCTGTTTTTCTGGACGAAATATCAAGAACTTTAAAACACCTTCCTCTAGAAGCTGTAGACTAACACCGATAAGTTAGAGAATAAAAAGATACTACGCAAGGATGGCTTCATGTTGTTGCCTTTAGAAGTAGTTAGTTAGTTAGTTAGTTATTGGAGAGGGTGGGTTTCTCCATGCACTTAGACCAGTATTGGTCCATTGTGCTTCCCTCTATGATATTCTACCAGTCTCTATACCCTACCGATATTGGTGCGTACCATCAGTCCCGACCGAGCCAGCGAGTTCGGCCTCCACTGGCTTGGTGGTGTCTATAATACTTCCCCCATCTATCAGAGGCATTAGAGGCTACTATTGGGCTGGAAACGTCCTTGAATTTGGCTCAGTGACCTCCTTTGGAGATATGAGGTTCTTTTAAGTGCCGTAAAGCTACGACACGGGACACATGGCTTAAAGTCCCTCCCGGAGGACTTGTTCCCTGAATTTTTCCGCCCTTAAAAATTCCAAGACCTCCGCCGGGTTTGAACCCGCGTACCACGAGTCATGAGGTGGAAACGTTACCTCTAGACTACGGAGGCCGCTTGTCTTTAGAAGAATGTTTTGAAATTAATTATGATTACCAAATCGAGGGCTGCTTGTGGCACCGGAATTCTGAAAAATATCATGTACGGGACCGATGTAGGTGAGCGTGGCCACTCCTGCTGTGACGCCAGCGCTATTGCCAGCATCGTTAAACAAGTATCAGTGAAATTAGCTCTGACCTCTTAATAGGAACGAAGAACTCATCCACAGTGGGCAGACA